TAAATTAATTTTATTTTCTAGGATTGCACTCCGAGTTTGGGTTGAAGAGTTAGTTCTATCTGCCATAGGAACGTTCGGTCGAAAATTAATTTGTATGAAAAAACATTTATTTTATCAAGATATCTTGCCCAAACTCGGCATTAACTATTTTCCCTGTGCTTCTTAGATACGGGCAAAGCACTATAAGCATTATGAAAAGGTTGGGTCTGCAAGGGGTCCCCCCCACTCCATTAAGCTTAAGTGTTAGTTTTTCTTACAATTTTATGAAAATTCGAACTATAAGAGCTCTAACAAATTGATTAAACAATAAAAACAACTCAACTTTGGACTCATTACTCTCCAGCACTTAAATACAATCCAAAGAGCAGCTGCTCTCGAATAAGCAGCTGCGCCAGAATAATGGCAAAGTAAATAAACAGGGGCAATTACAATACTTATCGGCAATTAAAGACTCTCCTCGCCAGACGGAAGCCCCGCCAGCATGCAAAAATACAAAATGCAAACAATTCAACGAGTTGAATGTTTATAAAGAACAAATTTAATGCGCTCCACTCGCCAAGCTAAAGTTCTAATCATCCACTGAAAGAGGAATGCAACAGCACGAGAAAAAAAAGTAGAAAAAGAAAGATGGAGAGGAGAGAGAAACTAGGAAGCAAACTTGTCGTTAATTGCAATACAAAATGCTGCAAAGGGCGCACATCACAATTGCCTGACTGTAATTGTTGCACTTTATGCAGTTTAACGCACAGCCAACTTTTCAATTGTTGCGACATTTTTATTGCGTAATTTATGCAACACCATAAAGGAGTAATAAAAGTGTGCGAGAATAGAAGATATCCTCTACTAATATAATAATACGCATACTCAAAAGAAGTGCGACTTTTTGTTGGGGAATTCAAGTGAATAAATTGATATAATTGAAATTAATATTCGCTGAATTTCAGGAGTTGCGGGAGTCTATTCAATTTCTTAGAAGATGCACTGAAATACTGAGTACTCACATATTAAGCTCATATTGAACTCATTCTATTCATATCTAATAGGTCCTGAGATAGAAAAAGGTCATGCTAACTGATGGCCAGCCAGATGGGCAGACCGAATCGACTCTCTAGCTTCTAGAATCCGTGATCAATGAGTATATTCAAACGAAATTCGTAGATTACTTGTGATGTGGCTTAATTACTTCAATATATAATAATTAATTAAATTCGATTTTACTAAATTATTCAGAGATCTATAAATGAATAAAAATTCCACTGCGACAGTATGAAATCCACTTGACTGCATCGAGTACCTTTTACCAACGTATATAGACAGAGAATATATGTGATTCGACTATTTGAGCTAATTATTTGGGCTGTATAGTTTAGAACATAAATCAAATGAAGTCTGCAAATGATGTAAAGAACTCACATACCAAGAGATCCATAGATATTCGGTCAAAGAGAGAGTATTAAATATAAAGGATGGAAATTAACTTTCATAATTGAATATACCCTCAGTTAGAAGCGTCAGCTCTACAAGAGGTATACGAAGGGAGAATGAACGTGTGACCGATCGCTCGGGACTGGACGTGCGCTAAACTGCCGACAAAAAGTTTTGCAACTTGGAATAATGTACATAGCACACACAAACACACGCTCACGCACACACAAGCACACGCACACATAAGTGGCAGCCACAATTTAGGCATGAGAGTGTGCTTGTGCGTTGCAGACATTTTGAATTAAGTGTAGTTAATGTTGACAAACGTCAACATTATGAGGCCTGCCTGCCACAACAGAAACAGCAACAGCACAAAACTGAAAAAAGTAGGAGACAAAGAACAATGCCCCACAATCTCTAACCCACTCGGATGCCACAGAATGTGCGGCAATGTGTGGGTCTCTGGGGGCCGCATTGAAGTGGCATTAGGCGCTTGATTGATGAATGTTTAAGTGTTAGATTAAGATAATCGACATTTCAATAATAAAATATTCGAAATGGAAACGATGCTCGTTTAATACAACGGGGGCGGCATAAATTTCAGTTGAGTGACGTGAGAAGTTGATTTAACGCATTAACGCGATGACCAAATTGAATTCTTGAATAAACAAAAAGACTGTGCTGAAAATGCGAATATACAAGCTATCCTTGCGAGATTTTAGTTTTAAATTATGAAATTTTATGGGGGTCTTGATAATATTTTATTAGATCAAATTACTTATAAATTTCGAGCTGCGCTTGGGTTATGGCTTTAATCAAACACACGTAACAAATCAAGCCTATCAAATTTAAGCTTTCTATCTCAAAAAGTTCCTGAGCTATGGCGCCGACTGCTTACAAATTGTAATATTTAATTAAAATACAATTGCTTATTAAATATCTTGGATTGGTCATATACAAATGTTTATTTATTCCTCTATAAGCTTTTCCCCCTCCATTATTGCTAAATTAAAATAATTTGTAAGCATTTTATTATATATTATTATTGAAACAACTATACATGCATTTTTAATTCTATCTTATAAAACTGCATTAAATTACAAAATGCTACATTAAAAAGTGCCTGAAGTGAGCTCTGTTTTAAGCTTTTTTTTAGCTCTGCGAATTAATTGCAAGCAACTGGGTCAACAACAATCTGGCTTTTTTGACACTTTAGTTCCTGGTTTTGCTTATGCCAGCCACTGCTCTGCAATTCAAATGGCGACATAAATTAGAAAAATTGCATAAAAATCAACACTGAAACCCAGAAGCAACATGAACCCATTGTACCGCATGTAAAATTTAAATGCAATACAAAGCAATTGTCACATTAAAATGAATGTTGTTCTGGTTGTTGTAGTTGTTGTTGTGGTTGTTGATGATATGCAGTTTGTGCGCCTAGGTTTTAATGCGGAGCCGGCGCTGGAAGCCACGCGAACTGGACAAATGTGCGACCAACGAGGCGTCAAAAGCCCGCAGGAGACATGCAAAATATGCACTGAACACATGTATATATGTAGGCCTGTGCATAAAAAAAACAATAAAATGTGTACACATATATAAAATTGAAACATTTCTATGCGTCACGCGGCATTTGCGGCAGTTGGTGGAACACTCTGGGCCCCGTCTCTGACTCTGAACTTGCTTGGCCCTGGCTGGGCTCGGCATTTACATTCGCACAGCTCAGCGTATGCGGGTTGGTGCAAGGAAATGCACCATTAAGTTGCCAGACTGAAGAATACCCTTCATTTTGGTATATTAAAACAAGTGCAATAAAACTTAAGATTTTATTACAATATCAAAAAAAAAAGTTGTTGCTGCCCGAATCCATACTCATTGTATCTCTTGCTAATTGAGCATGAAACGCTCTTAACTTATAAGAATTAACTATAACCAGCTACAATTATTACTGAAAAAATCCACAGAACTAATGCTGTTAAACCATAAACCTCCTTTAGAAAATGCATCTAGAAGATTGCTGAGAAAAAATTGGCATGCCCTGCCTGCTCTCTTCTAGCAACAGGGGATTAAGCCCAGCTATAGAAAGAGAAAAAGAAAGAATAAAAAAAAAAGGAAATTAAAATTGGCATGGGCTGCCAATGAATTTTGCACTGGGGCAATGTCAATGCACTTTTCGTCGTCAAACAAAAATAGACAGCGAGTGGAGCAGCTGGGGCCCAGCTAGAAATGTATTCAATCTGCTTGTCTAACTCCAAGTGGGCAAGACACTTAAAACTGAATGGGCAAATTGTGTGGAAATGCTTGTTAAGCAATGCCAACTCAATTAGCTAGAAAAAAAAACGTTTTGCAACTTTTGAAAAAAAAAAAAAGAACAACTAGAAAAAAGAAAACCAAACAGAGGAAAGAAAAGCGCCAGGTTAGCTGTATAAATTAAGGCAATTAGAGGTTAAGTTCAGAGTTCAAAGCATTTTGCTAGATTTCAAATGGGAATACTTAATTATCTAGTTGATCCTTCTCCAATATTTGCTGAGCTAAGAATATAAAATAAAGAAAAGGCTAGTAAAATAGTTTCGAGAAAAGCGCCAGCCGAGCGCCTGATCAGCCAACGGGCCAGGTACAATATCAATAAACCCGTTAACACTGTCCAACAAAATTGCTGCTGATTAAAGTCACATTTCGTATGCAACAGACAGCTGCACAATTATCTAGACTCAATGAAATTAACAATTTTGGGCTTACAAGAAGAACAACAATAGAGCCTTACAGTTTGAAAGACATAAATCGAAACGAAAAATATTAAAGCTGTGTGTAAGAGATGTGTAAAAAGCATTTATAAATTTTTGTCACGCTCTGATTTCCTGTTTTCAAAGTATTGAGAAACAACAACAACAACTGCCACAACGTTGTCAATTTCTATTAACACATTTTGGTTTGAGGCGCTGTCAAAACATTGCCACCTGAAGAGCTGCAGAGCCGGGGCCTGCCAGATGAAATTGTGGCCAGATTCTGATGCCATTGATAAGAGAATGCCTGCTTGGCTCGGGCTTCTTCTCGGCGCGGTACGTGGCCATTGTTAGGGCCTTTGTCGCATCTGGGCGCCGGTTTATAATCCGCACGTATCCTGGCGCGGCTTAGACTGCTTTGTTTCATTGATTTTTGTTGGCCTCGCTATCCAACATCTACGCCTTTGTGTGTGTGTGATTGTGTGTGAATGTGTGTGTGCAACCACTCAGCGACACTTTGACTGAGATTTACCTGCACTGGAAAGGCGTCAAGATAGGAAGTTGTTATCGATTTTACATCTCATTTCTTATCAACTCTCCGAAAATGAAGAAGTTTATATGGCTCTCATGTTATTCTTCCTATAGATTTGCAAGATATTTTCAATGAAGCTGCGTTTTTTTCCTATTTTTTAAAAAGTATGACATTTTAAATATCGACATCGAAATGCCCGAAGGCAACAAATTAGCATAAAGAATTTAGGCATATTACATCAGTTTGTTATGCAACCAAAGAATTCGGAATTTGTGTAACAAAGAAATTTATAAAAAAAATTGTAATTAGATACAGCAACATTTTAAAGTTTTGGGGGCAAGTTCTGCTAATTCACTTGTATTTTTAAACATTATTAAACATTATTCTTGCGAACATAATCGATTTTATTTGAATTGACTCGACCTGGCGGTCGGCTTTTCCATCTTTTGACGTATGGTTCTTATAATTTGCTCCTTTTTCGATACGCAAACAGAACCCGAGCAGCATTTTTCCTTTTTCATACACATACCCCTGTTGCGTACAAAACCAATTTTACACTGGCATTCTTTTTTGCAGGCCGTACAATTTTCCCCATCATATAAAAGCTGAAAGCAGGAGCTCTCAAAGCATTTGCATCGCTCTTCCTCGTTTATGGAGCACCCTAGGCAACAATCCGGAAATATTTATAATATATAATAATATAAAAGAAATGCAATAGCTTACTTCTATATGAGTTGGCTTCGTGGAATGTAAGAACTACCAATAGAACACCTATGAACAGAAATACATGGGCCTTCAAAAATATCATCGTACTGCTTCGTCTTCAACTCGAATAAAATATACGTGTGGATGAACTGAAAGTAAACTCTGTATTTTCACAAGTACAAAGCCTAACTAACAGCAGACTAATTGGCTTCAATAATTACTGGACCAAATCAATTCGCTACGCAATTTGTTAGGTGTCTTTTGCTTCTTGGATCGCAGTTCTTTTTAAACCAAACAAACATTTGTAAACTCTGAAAAAATCTCCGAATTTCTATTATGATCAATATGACATTTTCTGAATATTGAAATAATACCTTATTAGATACATACCTAGGTATATTTTAAAGTGGTATGTAATAAGTATGGTTGAAATGACTGTGGATTAATACAGGGCCACATAGTTTACATGGCCTATACCATTTAAAGTCACTCAGATCGGTTGGATTTTGCCTCATGTCAGGTCTAACTTTTATAATCTCCAACGCGCATAGGCTTGCTTTTACTTTAGCCAGTTTATAAATACCAATGGAAGAGTATTTGTTTCCACAGTATTATTTTTAAGTTTTCAAAATATATACAACACCATACCATACCATATGCCAATCCATTTAAATCTGAACAACTAACAAAGATGACCCCGCAAACAAGCCAAGCATCGAGTGCGCTGCGGCTCATTAAGAGTCTTGCTTGGTGACCTCCAAGGGCAACCGCTGATAATAGTAAAGAAAAATAAGAATAATTGTATATTGAATGAAACGGACTCAAGGGCTGTTGTTAATCTGATGTTGGTTGTTATTTACTGTGTACTGTGTACTGGCAAATGTTGCATTAATAGCGAATAAAATTCATCATTTTTAAAATGCTAGAACTACGAATAGAACAATTAAAATCAATAATGAATGAAACGAATTGGATTTTTGATATTGCCAATTAAGATTTTTATATGGCAATATAATTTAAGTCGGTTTCTTCTAAATATATAAAGAAAACGATTGGAGATTCTTTTTATATTAATATTATTATTGTATTATTTTATTATATTCAGACACTTTTCATTCGACTTTTGAAAAATTTCTTAAGAATACGTTTCTTAACTTATGCTTGTTTCCAAGATTCTGTCGAAATGATAAGTGCAAGAGCAGAGTAGAAAGAAGAATCGCTTCCGTTTGGTTTCTGTTGCATTTTGGATGTGGCTGCTGCGGCGGCTCTTGGTGCTACTTACAGACAGATCTGAACTCACACTTTGTCAACATGTGTTCAACATGATCACGAACAAGCCGGCTATTACTAGACATCAACATAAACATTAGCAATCCCAAACGCAAAACCGAACCCGAACAGACGAGAAGAGAACTTAAAGTGCTCTTTAAGCAAGTGCATGGCCAGAAAATACCCTGTAGACAGCTTCACAAAATACATTTGTAACAATTTAAATATTTAAAAAATATATATATATAAGTCAAATTTATGTGCTCGAAGATGCCATCGTCTGTCTATCACATAAATTTCCCACACCCATTTACCATGAATACAGGGTAGAACAAAACAGAGCAGCGAATGCAATTTATGCTATAGTAGGGCACATTCGAGAATGGGGGCTTGCCAAGCTGAACTGAATTTGTTGTTGGGCATTGGGCCTTCGGCCTGTCCACTTGAGAGGCGCATGCTAAATATGTGAACACATTTTTGTAACATATTCAACAGATTTCCGTCTGCTGCTGCTGCTGCATCTTAATGTGTGGCATTTCGAGGCACTCTAAGTGATATATAATAGGGCGTTGAAATGAATTCGAGCCGTTTCTCTATGCTCTATGCGAATGGCTGCTCTATTGTTTCAAAGTGATGAATTGCTGGGCACTGTGCTGCCAAACTTTGATGCCTGCCACTCGGCACATCGGTCAAGATGAAAGACGAGCAGCTATTGAACCATAACAGCAGCCCAAGCTCTTACTCTTTCTATGTAACAACCTTCTCTCTCGCTCTGTAGCTGCCTCTCGCCTTAATGGGTTAAGGCTATAAATATGCATATATATGTGTATATAGTCAGTGCTTGGTTCACACTATGACATTTGGCTGGCCCGTCTGCACGTCCGTCCATTGAACATGTCTGGGAGCATTATTTACGACTTCCGTGATGAATTTTCAGTGGCCACTTCTGCAATTGCTTCCCCCTCGCCCCTTGTTGCACCCTACAAGCGTATGCAATCGGCATTCATAAAGTGCCTCGATTTTAAATATAAAACTCAGAGTGCGTATTTCCTATGCAATTCACGACTCCGATGTCTGCTCTGTGAATATGAGGTTCAAGTGAAAGAAAGAAAGAAAGAGAGAATAAACAGCAGGCTACAGCAGCACGGGCGGTCGGAATTATACTTGGGCAAAAGGTAAGTCTAACGAACCTATAAAGAGTGGAAAAAAATCTTAAGGATGTGCTAGAGAGGTAGGCAGAGACAGAAAATATTGTGTGGCATACAAAACAAGAAAAACATAGCCAGACAGGATAAAATAAAAATAAATAAGTAACAAATTACAAACATTTATAACTATATTATAAAATATAATATTATTATATTGCACAGCAAGTTTCAATTATTGTTTTTGCTGATTAATTATTAAGTAAATAAAATACTAAATTTAACAAAAAAGATATTGGAATTGATTTAATTTTTAAAATTGTCAACTACTTATAATGAAGTATTTTTAAGCAGACACCAAAAGGTTAATTGAGTAGCGAAGCGGGCCGACTAGGTAAGAAGGTTCGTGCCCCTGTCAAGAACAAATATGTTTTCGAATTTGCAGGCAAAGCCTGGTAATTTCAAGATGCAGTTACTATAAACCTGCTTAGTTAAACACTTAGACTAAATATAAACCTCATTTAAAGCGAAAGTATGCCTAAGATTAGGTAACAAAACTAATTTCAAACATTTATATTACATGTCTAATAATAATATTGTAGAATGTCATCGTTGACAGCATTAGCAATGTTACTAAAGTTTTGCTATCTATGTTAATTATAAATAGGTGTCGATAGCAAGATAAATATAATATCGATAACAATAAAGAGCCTGTCGTTATGAATTATGGGGGCAGTCTGTCGACAGCGTTAAGAGAAAGGGGGCATTTACAAAAAGACACAAAGAAAAAGCAATATAAATAAATATTAAAGAATTTCAAAATACTTTATATCTTGTTATTGTTTTTTTTTTTTTTTTTTTGTTAGCTTAGCTTAGCTTTCCTAATTAGTATTTCAATTTACCATGAGCTCAAATTGATTAACAACGCAATAGACTCGAAATTATATAGCATAAAAGTGTGTTGCTTGAGCCGCAAAAATCGCATTCATTCATAAATCAAAATATCAGACACTTATGAAAGAAGTAGGAAAAGGAAAGCCATTACGGATAATATGACAATCGAAGCATTTTGTTAATATTTTCAGCATATTTCGACGACTGACCAAAACTGAAAGAAAAGAAAAGATGAAAAGCGAAAGAACATCAAAAACAAAACATGCTTCGGTCGATAACTTTTCTGTTTTCGTCGTCAGTGATTTTTTCGACATTTTTCGGTTTTTTTCTTCTTTTTTGTAGCTGCTGTCGTCGTTTCCACTCGAGCAATTAATACGTGAGCAAACTGGAAAATACTTCAAGCAGCGAGCTGTCATCCAAGTGCAAAACAATGTTAGACCCCTGATGGACTGTGAAGGGGTGGGGGTGGTGGTGGGGAGCGTGGCGTATAGCGGGTGGGTTTGGGTTGAGGGATTTAAAGAGCAGACATAAGCCGTAAGCCATAAGACATTCATTCTTTGTCGCGACGCGCCGACTGACGCCTCGACGTAAGTCGATATCCCAAAAAAAAAATACTTTCGTCAGGGCCCCTTATTCTGTTCCTTCTGGCTCCACTTAAGAGCACAAACCATAACCATAAAATCGTATTATGTGTATAGTTAACAATCGTATTGCAATTGCGAAATCCAAACACGCCTCTCACATTGTCACATCGGGGTCTGGGCTATATTTAGAACTAGTTCCCCGATTCCCCTAACCATTCGTTGTAATTATCGTGCGTGCGATTCATGATGATGTTGATGATAATCACAAAAGAAGAAATATAACACATTTTCCAGTGCATAATAAATTGTGAGACGGCTTTTCCTCATTATTATTGTGAAAATCTGCTCATATTTCAAGCAACCAAGCGGAAATCCTTTATCGTAGACCAAACCCAACACACCCCCCTCCAGCTTATACATATATTTGCTAAGTATATCATATAATACGCTTCACATTTTTGCAGCTCGTTAGATAGGCGACAGTATAAAGTTATTCATAGAATTGTTGTTGCTGCTATGTTGCCACAGAACTAAATCATTGTTAGACCGACTTTTCTGTCTGGCTGTTTAGTTGGTTTTGGCCTGCTTTGGGCTGGCCTGACCATATAATTGTGTAAAAGTTTTAATTGGATGCTTTTTGCACAATTTGCTATATTTTTAAAATAGCGCCACGAGGCAAAAGTTTTCGATATTATTTGAGTTCATTAGGCTTATAAAACTAAATTAATGTGCTGCTAAATAAAAATAAGCTTAATATTTAGTTGAATATAGGGATATTAGATTGACCCGATTAAAATTTTATAGTTTTTATAGCTGCGATAATATGTTAAAATTATAAAAAAAAAAAAAACACAAAATGATACGCTTAGATATATACCATAATATATCATATGGATTTTCATACTTATTCTACCCTGAACCCATTAAAAATGGGTAAAAAGGGTATATTGTATTTGTGCAAAATATAAATGTATGTAACAGGCAGAAGAAAGCATCTCCGACCCCATAACGTATATATATTCTTGATCAACATCAACAGTCAAGTCGATCTAGCCATGTCCGTCTGTCCGTATGTATGAACGCATGGATATTGAAATTTTAGATGTAGGTCCTCCTAGTGCCTGCGCAGATCGAGTTTGTTTTCGATAATCGATAACTTGCCCCGTTTCCAAGAAATCGATAAAAATCTATATCAAAATCCTGTTTTTTGGGCAATATTGGTAAATAATAAGAGCTCGAGCCACCAAACTTAACATGTAGTTTCTAGAATATTATATATTTTTGAATTTGGTGTATCCCGACTAGAACCTCTTACATGTTTTTTTCTTTTATTTTCTGATATAAAATGATTTTAAAAAGCTTACCTATTCAACTGATTTAATCCAGTATAAAATTATAAATATAGCACAATAATCATATAAATAAATAATAATTAATAATTTCCACGTACTCATTCACCGCGCTCACCATCTAGCTATATTTATTCGCCCATTAGCCAAATTGCGAGGCATGC